GGGGGGGGGGTGACTGCAGCTACGCTAAAAGAAACAGGGTGCAGGTGTGGGTGGGCGAGGCAAGACTGGCTGAGGAAGCAGGAAGTGACTGAGGAGAGGTAGATGATGGCGCAAAGGAATACAGAAAAACTGATTCAAAAACACAAAAACACAACTAATCTAATAGCGAAACACTAAAGCCTACAAACAAACAAACAGATCCTGACACTTTGTGGTTGACATGGTCTCTGAAAATGTGAATGGACTTCTTTTACTGCAGTGAGAAGTTCCTGGTGAAACTGAACAAAAATGGAGGACCAAAGAATCCAGAGAAGGTTGATCGTCTGTGTGCTCTCTTTACGGTGAGACATTTTTTTATTCTGATGTAAAAATTATATTATTTTCCATTCTTTTTACTGATTATGTGACACATAAAAAACATTTCTTTATAGGACCTAAGCAGTAAAGACTTGAAGAGAGACCTGTACATTGTTGCACACGTCATAAGAACAGGTAAGTTGAGTGGACTGAGCTTCCTGCGACCGAAAACGTTTGCCTTTCCCTCTCAGCCTGGTTTTCTGCTCGTTCTGTTTTTTGCAGGTCGCATGCTGCTGAACGACTCAAAGAAAGGCCCTCCTCACGTTCAGTACAGACGGCCTTATGGCTGCGCCGTGCTGGCCATGAGCGATGTTTTCCACACCATCACAGACCTCAAGGAAGAGAAGGACTTTGTGCTCAAAGTTTACACGTCAGTATCCTGCTAAAACGGTTCATTTTCTTTTTATTCCCATTGACATCTCTAAAGAAAAAAATGCACTGTGAGAAATAAGAGTTGAAGAGTCTGTGCTGTGATGCAGGAGTGTTATTGTTGGGATTTGTTTATTTATTAATTTGTTGTGCATGACAACCTGATGTCTTTCTGTTGATGCCGGTGTGTTTTAACCTGAATGATAATGAAGTGTCCCTTGGAAAATCAACAGCTCCTCACCCTGAGCTGGAGGATAGGGCACCTGGCATGTTACGAATCTGGCYTCTGCTGTTGGGCTTCGCCACAGACAGCCGCTTCCGTACCCTAGCCAAGCAAGGGGAGGAGGGGGGCAGGGAGGAAGAGGCAAAGAGATTGAGAGGGATGACCCTCAGATAATTGAGCAAAGTTGAGGACGAAGCAAAAATCCCAGTGAGCTCAGCATATTTTCTTGTCAGTCAACAGCCGAAGCGTCTCCTTGTYGCTGGATTCTCCCTCTCAGCATCCTCTCCGGGTCAGAGGTCATTTATGCAGCTTGCCACCTAGTTATATTATATGTTTCTTGTGTAAGAATAATAGGACAACTCGATATGAAATAAATATMTTTTAGAATAGAAAGCTGATGTTTTCAGAGGATTTCTCTGTCGACATCAAGACCTTCTTCTTTTTTTAAAAAGTAAGCAGTGATTCAGCGCTGAGCTGCCTCCAAACTGTCGGCTCTTATATCGCTCCAGTATGCGCGTTTCCTCGTGCCTTTCCCAGGAGCCTTTGGGCCCACAGTAATGAAGAAGGCTGGTAGAGAGCTGGCTGTCAGGTCTGCTTAGTGTGCTGTGCATTTGGGCTAATGTGCTGCTTGATAGCAGCTCCCCTTGCTGCTACCTTTTCTCCAGGAGGAAATCGGCTGTGGGACGCATGCTGTTCATGTGGTCCCTGTACGCACAATCCTGAACCCTCCATCTGCTCCTAAAAGAATGTGTGCTTGTTGTTAACAGCCCCACTCAYCTCTTCTTTTTTTTCTTTTTCTTTTTTAACCCAGATGTAACAATGAGAACGAGTGGTACCAGGTACACGAGAACATCATTCGCAAGTCCAACACCAAGTACTCAGCCCCAAGCACCAACTACGGTAAATGTGTTGTCTTGAGAGACTGCATATTTTTAGATTTGCAATAATTGTGGTTTTATTTTGTGCACATTTTCAGATTGATGCCCAAAATATCACATTTTAAATTGATTTACAAATACTGACCTGATGATTAAACCCAAAATCTTTATGGTTCCAATTGTTAGTTTTTTCAGCACCACATACTTATAAAAAAAAATATGGACCCATTCAGACAAAATGTTCTTGTAATAAAGGAGAGTGTAATTCAGCTCCAGTGATTTACAAGTTTTTATTAAATGATTACATAGTTTCAGAGGGTTTACAGTCAAATTTACCACTTGAGCATAACTTTTAATATTCATGAAAACAAAAAAGCCAGTGGTGGGCACAGTTCCCCTAAAGCAGTAAAGCACTAACAGGAGAACTAATTTCCTGATTAGTGCTTTAGGGCTTTTGCTAATTTTAAAAGTTATTAGTGGATTAGCTCGCTAAATTTATAAGCACTCACTGAGGTCTATAAATGTTATTGATCAATGTTAATGTTAACAGCTGAGGGTGAAAGCTGTCACACATGTTGRATGTGTGTCACTTGACAATACATGAACTCAAATACAGCTGTGGAATGTCAATGATGAGTATTAAGAGAGCAACATGACATAAAAAAAAAAGAAAAAAAAAGAGAGCAACATGACAATATGTGACTCATGTTGTCTGTTGAAGAAAGTTCATGGGTTGACTGGGTTATTTTAGTGCTTTAGAATGAACYTTTGCTAAAACTTTCAGTGCGTTAGCGCTGTAGAATTTGGTGACCTAAATATTCGAGTTAGTATTTTAGGGCTAGTGGAATTAATTTTTAGATTAGTGCTGCCCACCAATGAAAAAAGCAATGGCTAAATCAAGAAATACCACAAACTCATGAGTGATATCTCATGARCCAAAATGCTGAAACTATAGAGATTTTTTTTAAAGTGGGGTATTGTGTTTTTTCCAGATACAAACTTCAAATCTATACCACAGTCAACTACTGTATGTTTCAATGTTGTCAATTGTTCTTTAAATGCTGTATAGATCAAAAACAAGTTTAATTTTGCATCTAAAAGCTTTGAAATTGGTGCGGGGGGTGTGCTTTCTGGGGCGGGTGGTCAACTGGGAAATGAGCTGCAGGGAGGAGCTTTGGGTAAATAAGTGGTGCTTTGTGTGAACAAGGGTTTAGACAGCTCAAAATGGCTACCATAATAGATAAGGATTTCACAAACAAGCATGAATGAGTCAAAGCAACACTCGGGTTTGTTGTAAATGAAGGAATGACATTATAACGTGATATAAAGC